GGACATAACTCTGTAGACAGCTTCGGATGTCCTGCGTCCACCAGCATACGATAAGGTCATTTAGCTCTAACATCATTTATTCTCACATGCTTATCATCATTGTTTTCGGGCGGCAAAGTTTTGTCTCCGAGCTTTAACTTTTCTTCCAATGCCTTCCAGTCTTCAATGTTAGTAATTGGCAAGTTAAACTGTCTTGTCCTGGTTGACGAGGTGTTCTGAGTGTTTGTTTGTCGGTTAAGTAGAAGCTGCACAGAATCATTTAAATGAATCACGCTAGCCGTTAAAAAGTCCACTTTTCGAATCATTTGCGTCTCAAAGGCTGAAGCAAAAGCAAAAAAGAACTTATCAGTCCTAAATCTAAGAATTACTTTTTTGATTACATGTAAAATTACCATCGTCATCATGCATGGGTCGAGCGCGTCGTATGGCGAAAGGTAGACTTGACCTTGGCGTAGATGCCTTGCTCAGACTTTCTTCGTTTGCCAGACCAACTGGAATGATGGGCCGTCGTGGCAAGGAATTCGCTACAAAAAGTACATGAAATACAAAATTAACAATAATATGAGTTTTGCTAATGTTAGGAATTATCATACATTTACCACTTGAATTTTGTGATGACGTGGCAACTTGATTTTTTTCGGTTGCGCTAGTGGTGCGGCTAGCCCCGACCTACAAATAAAATAAGATGAGCATACTACATTATCGCTTGGATATAATTACGTCATACTACAAAATGTGTACTTACCAAAACCAATTTAGGATACCCCTCATCTCCACTATCCATGTCGGCCTCCACACCGTCCTCGTCAGATGATCTATTTTGTAATCTTGTTTGAGAAATTCTTCTTTTCTAATTGGAGCAGGTCTGTGTGTAGGCTTATCCAGCTCTTCATTCGCACTGGTTTCGGCTCCCTTTTCTAGGCGTACAAGCTTCTGGTGGGCATCTTCGTACAGAACTGAAACAGGAAATGCATAATTTGAGGAACTATTTCCTGAGATATACATATGTGCAAGAAATATGGACTTACAATAACTTTTCATGATTTTGATATCATACAGTCGCCATGAGGTAGGATTAAGGACTTCGCCAGATAGCACACCCTTCTTCAGTTTTCTATTGTCCTTCCAAAAGGGCGGCCAGTAAGCATATGTATTGTTTTCAACTTTTGTAATCCATTTTTCGTGTACAATTCCAACGGTTTTGTCGTGGCAAAACTCCACCACCACAAATGGCGAATTTTCTAACTCGAACGACTGACTATGCATCACAGAGTTCACTAAATAATACCTTAGTGAACCAGAGGAACAATTACAAGTTTTCCAGAGAAGGGGAGAGCTGCACACTTCCTGAGAATTAAATTGGTTGAGATTACTATCGTAGCACCGGACGGCTCAGCTAAGACCACGCCAATAATATTTGAGTCGGCCGGGACTCTGAAAAAAGATTCCACCACTTTTAACACATTACCCCGACAAGATACTTGGTCGTCAGTTACATGAAAAGCAGTAATTTGTATTAATTCCCCACTTTTTAATTCACATGTATTATCCCCCAATTTTAATTTAAGTTTAAATTGTTCACAAATTAATTCACTCTTTGCACTGTTTAATATAAATTGTGAATTATTTCTTATGGGTGAACTTAAGGGCTGATTAGTATTCTGTTTTTCAACTATTCTGTTATGCACTTGCTGCAGTGGAAATCTTTTACCCTTCAGAAGAGATTGAAGATATCCCAAATGATCTTCAAATTTAAATGCACTAAAGCTGTCTAGCGGTCCCAGGTTCAATGCGTCATCAGCCAAATGAACTAGTCCGTGTACATTGTAGGACATGTGCTGGGCTCCATACAAGTTGGCAAACTTGCTGACAAAACTTGTTAATAGAGAATGAGCATAAGAATTTAAAGTTTTATATAAATTTTTGCAGCATAAAATTCTAACTGCTAAATGCAAGCAAATAAAATGATTGTAATATTTTTTAGGAAGGGTTGATTTTAGCACTACTGGTCCAGTGTATAGCAGAAATTGGCGTAGTTCAGTAGCCTTCCATCTTTTAATTTCTTCAATTCCTCTTGGCTTTCGAGCAAAATCCGACGGAATAAATGGTTTCAAAGTAATTAATTGTCGTGTTAAGTCTAGCTTATCTCTGCATGATAAACGGAATTTGTTTACATTTCCGCCAAACCACAATAGTACTAACTTCCGAACAACACCCAAACAGACCAAGTGCATAAATTCGTAAGGAAACTGTTTAACTATCAGTATCAGTATCAGTATCAGTATTTATTCATTTCAAACGATGGCCGGAGCCCATATCGCTACATAAATAATGAGAGAATATTCGTAGGTTGGTATGTAGATTCCGTGTGGCTTAGGGAAACCCGTACGATAAAACCTAGCCATGTCTCGAGAAGCGGACACCATTCGGCACGGATACCTTAAAATTAAGACTATTCTAATTAACCTACACTCAGGCAGACATTGGTTGGCATTGGTTGGTAGCATATTTTCATAATTGGCCGATGAATGGCTGATGAGACTCGAGAGTCATGAAGAAGATTAACATATCCCCTCTCCGGGTCGTCCATGGATTGCATCCCAAAGTCGTCCTCACACTAACCGGCGGCTGCAATAGCCCCTAGTTCCCGACCAGAAGGTCAACCCCCGATATTTTTCAGCTTTTCACAGCACTAGAGGCAGTGACAACGTTGCCCCCCAATCCACCCCCACCCACAAGAACGACGGATAAGACCCCCTCCGCCCCCTGATGTGGTGATGAACAGGACCAAAATGAGAGGTCAGAGAGTCGTGACCTGTCACGCAGCAGACACGACCCACACCCACTCCTACAAAGTGAGCACGACACGCGACTAGGGCCTTTTCTTTGGGTAGAGCAGCACTTCAAACACGGGGCTTTCGCCAGGGACCGTCACTCCAGCACAGCACGCGATTTTCTCTCCTCCTTTCACTGACCTCCGACTATCTTCCGCCACCAACTTATCAACCAATGCCATACCTGAGGGGAGTCCGGTTTGCCGTGGTGGGTGGTTGCTCCCGAAGACCAAATATATATAAATTTTTCTGAGTCCGATTTTGTCCAATTATCCGGCGAATTTAATAATTTAGCACTTCACAATAGTAACCAATTTTACAGTATCAATTAGGGTAGCTTTTGGCGAAAAATTTAATACAACTTGAAGTAGTTAAAAATAATTTAGACCTATGGTCGGATTTTCTTTAAGAGTCTGATTTCTTTGATAATTTTGCTGCAACGAAGTGGCCGATCATCCCCATGCTTATTAGCCTTGCAAAACTTTGAATTGATGGTACTTTGCCAATTGTTGACGGATTTCAAATATTAAACATGTTTCTGAAACCTTGGGCGATTTTGAAAAACATATATTTTTCAAAATTTTCCACCGTGACCTAATTGACCTTTAACGAAGGTCACACTTGCAAAAAGTGAAGAAATTTATTTCTTTCTAAAAAATGTCGTAGTTGGTTATTTACACCAAATTTATACACCAGATAATCCCGGGCGTGACCAATGTCGTCAACCACTATGACCAGAAGGTCAGCCAAAAATGGGGGGTGTGTCAGGGGGTGCGGCAACCGCTTAATCGGAATTACATTCAGGTGCCCTGATGGATTACCGTCATCCAAACCTCAAATGAGTAACAAAGTAACATGTGTCGACACCCTCTACACTGGCGATTAGAACTTATCCACCTACACCCAGAGGGGGTGTGGCTATCAGCGCTTTCGCAGTAAGCTATATAAAGTTAGTCATGCGACACGAATAATTTATCGGGACGACGTGGGGGTTCAGATAGTTGACTCCAATGTCCAAAACCACACCCACAAGTGGGTGTGGTTCTGGGGGTTTTGTTTGTAACACCTGCAAAGTATATCGTGTGACACAAATTATTTATCGTGTGAGCAAGGAGATCTCGATGGTCAACTTTAATTTAGAAAGCCACACCCCCAAAGTAGGAGTGGTTCTTGGTATCTTTTTATTAATGCATGTGAGGTGTGTCATGCTATACAAATTATTTAACGGGTGACAAATGCGATTTTGATAGTCAACTTTCCTTGACCAAGCCGCACCCCCAAGTGGGAGTGGTTGTGGCAAACGTATTAATAGTACATGGCGTCAATTCCAAAACATATGGGTATACAATTTGGCAAGCATTTAGTACTTGTTGCATAAATTCAGAGATGGGTACAAGTATGGTCGGGATAATTCAACCACTCCCACTTTGGGGGTGTGGCTTTCTAAATTAAAGTTGACCATCGAGATCTCCTTGCTCACACGATAAATAATTTGTGTCACACGATATACTTTGCAGGTGTTACAAACAAAACCCCCAGAACCACACCCACTTGTGGGTGTGGTTTTGGACATTGGAGTCAACTATCTGAACCCCCACGTCGTCCCGATAAATTATTCGTGTCGCATGACTAACTTTATATAGCTTACTGCGAAAGCGCTGATAGCCACACCCCCTCTGGGTGTAGGTGGATAAGTTCTAATCGCCAGTGTAGAGGGTGTCGACACATGTTACTTTGTTACTCATTTGAGGTTTGGATGACGGTAATCCATCAGGGCACCTGAATGTAATTCCGATTAAGCGGTTGCCGCACCCCCTGACACACCCCCCATTTTTGGCTGACCTTCTGGTCATAGTGGTTGACGACATTGGTCACGCCCGGGATTATCTGGTGTATAAATTTGGTGTAAATAACCAACTACGACATTTTTTAGAAAGAAATAAATTTCTTCACTTTTTGCAAGTGTGACCTTCGTTAAAGGTCAATTAGGTCACGGTGGAAAATTTTGAAAAATATATGTTTTTCAAAATCGCCCAAGGTTTCAGAAACATGTTTAATATTTGAAATCCGTCAACAATTGGCAAAGTACCATCAATTCAAAGTTTTGCAAGGCTAATAAGCATGGGGATGATCGGCCACTTCGTTGCAGCAAAATTATCAAAGAAATCAGACTCTTAAAGAAAATCCGACCATAATTGTCATTGCAAATGCCAATTTTATCGGAAACTGTCTTCTTCGCAAAACAAATGGAATTTCAGGATTTGAAGGGGCTAGGTCAATTCTTGGAATAAAGACAGCCTCGCCTTCTGCCGATCCAGTCAAAACTTGGGCATGAATAATATTTGCCTTGAGTTCTTTCACGATAAGACGGGTGCCGTTGCAGAGACCTCTTTTTGTGCTTAAATTTCAAGAGGAGCATAATAATTGCACCAACCTTCAAGTTAAGTTTATGGGAAGGCATTCCCGAAGGAGTTAGACTATTCAAAAACTCAATCGGATAATTACGTCCATCCTCGTCTGTCGTTTCATCGATTGTGTCCGAGCTGAGATATGACTGTGGTATTCCCTCAAGTATATTCAAAACTTGTTCATTTATGGAATCCACATCTGAATTCTTTGGACACAGAATGGCTTCTTTCGAAAATTGTTCAACTTCAGGTACTAAAAGTTTCTCGCCAAATACTTCTGTAATTAATGAACCCTGAATTAAATAATTATGGGGTATTTCAATTATATCCTCGGCTAGACCATCGGAATTCAATAGTTCTCCATTTCCAATTTTAATTAGAAAAGCGCTAAATTCTGGGTCGATGGAGCGCACGTTGCTGGTCAAATTTAAGATTTTAAAGTTTTTCCAATATCTGTTAAATTTTATACTGGCTTCAACGGTTGCTGATCTGGAACCCCGGACAACAACAGGAAGTGTTTGTCGAAAGTCTCCTCCAAGTAAGAGTGCTTTCCCTCCGAATGGCAAATTGTTTTTCATAATAGCCTTTAATAATCCATCGACTGCATTTAAGGCAGCACTGGGAGCCATAGTGGACTCATCCCAGACCAATACTTTGGAGCGTTCTATGATATTGGCTTCATTGGAGGTTTCTCTCATTGATGAAACTGAACCATTCAACAATGGCACTGGCAACTTAAATTGGGAATGATATGTTCTTCCTCCATTGAGTAGATAGATAGATAGATAGATAGATAGATTTTATTTTCTCATTTGATATGGCCGAGGCCCTCATCATCATAATGGTACAGAGTTAATATGTGCAAATTTATAAATAGGTAGTCAGAGGAATGGAGGAAAAACCTATCTATGGTGGAGAGATAGGAAAACCTCCATCACCTCTGGGAATGTGGCCCAGAGGTCCATTTGACTACCAAACACCAGGTAGGCCAATGAGTGATAGAGATCATAGGTAGATTCCATGAGATAGTGGAGATATCCAAATGAGGACGGCGTCGTGACGGCGGAAGCAAGACGAGTGAAGGTTATTGGGCGGGGGTGTCCACGGACCACGAACTACCCTAGCACCCTTTCGGGCTCGGACTACGTGTCCCCTTTACGGTCATACAATATGACCAGGGCCGAATGACACCACCCACTTGCCCCCTCACCCCTCACAGCGCACCCGGGTCATGGGACCCCCGTAGCCCCGACTACGCTGCCCACCGCCATGCACGACCCCGTCCCCACTCTTCTACCAACCGCCCCCACGGTCACCACCCCGATATACCAAACAATGACCTACCTGGGGGGAGTCCTCCATGGCGTAGATCCTCCCGTGCACTTGGTCCGGCGAATCCATCTTCGCCTGATGGCTCAGCTTGTCGTTGCTGGGACGGGTGTGGCAGGGGGTGTCACCAGGCACGCAGGTGGGGGGTGTGAGTGGACGAGGCTCACAGGGCGAAAAGCCTGGGACACACTTCACTTGCCCTGGCACACCCGCGACCCAGATGGAAGAGGATCCAGAGGCAGAGTGAGAGAGAGACACGTCGTGCACGGTTGGATGCCAGGGAGGAACTCCTCCTCCATTGAGTAAATTGGCAGCGATTCCCGTAGATGCTACTGGCAAAGCAATGTTTGAATTTCCCCGAATTGTGCTCAAAATGGTTGTATATAAGTGAGTTTTGCCACTTCCTCCAGGTCCCGATAAAAAGAAGCATTTGCTTTCCTGAGTGTCACTCTCTATTGCATTTATTACTTCTTCAAATGCGATTTGTTGTTGTTCGCTTAATGTGGGAATCAATGTATCCGCAACTCTCTGTTCTTGAGCCGCATTAAACAAAACTTGAGGGTTATATGTACTTCTATTTGGTGGGTCGCGTAACCCAAAGTCTGAGCACAGTTTACCATGGATAATTAGAACATTTTGAATTTCTGACAGTGCATAATTCTTGCAGGGTATGCATAATTCATCTCCATGTCCTTCATGTCGAGAAACATCTTCATACATGTGACTTTTAAACTTTTCCCACAACGTTACAGTACTAAGCGGCGATGCAAATACACAAATATATGCAAACAATTCTCGAAGCTGTTTTGGCATCTTTAAAAGAACTGCATCATTCAACGTTGTTTCCCAAAGTGCATCATCTGAAATCAGACCTCGCTGTTTGGCACATTCTTTAAAAGTATCATATACTTGATTATTAAAAGTTCTGAGATATTCGAATGAAACTACTCCAGGAACGTGCAGCAATAGAAGTCTGAGACAAAATCGTTCTGGATCAGAACCCAAATTCACAGTATACATTCTTGCAATAACTCTGTCTGCTCCACGCTGGCGTTTCTTCCAACTGCCTTTATCATAAACATAGTGCTCAGGGATTTCTGAATATAAATACTGTCTGGCATCAACATTTTCCTGATTTAATTTGAACCAGGCTGTCAAAGTTGTGTTCCATGAAGCAGCATTTTCTACGACATTTTGAATATCTGTAGGATCAAATACCACCGATTGATGGTCGGGTAAGTGCACTTGTAACTTTTTTATGGTATGAGATTGTCTGTGCATATCGAAGCTAAACAATCTCCATGCAGCTTCTGGTGCGCTAACATATCTTGAATCTAGAAAAGTCTTGATTTCATTGTGTTGTAGAGTGTTCTGTTCATCAATAATGACATTAGCAGCATCATGGCCTTTGTAAACGTACTTGAATAAGTATTTTACACTCTTCACAGAGGACAATTATATTTGAGGCTTAGGTATGGATTATAGGGACAATCCATCTATTGTTAATCTCTTTGCCTCTGACAGAGGCAATCCGTCCGTTGTTTCTTCGACGGTATTTTGGATATCCATTAAAAGTGGCATCTGTTTCCTCTTGGAAATCCTTCGGAAAGTTTTTTGTACATTTTCCGTTGTCCATACATGGGGATGATGGATTAAGGGACCCACATGGACCATGTACCATATGTTTAGTTACAATAGCATGTAATCTAGGATGAGTATTTATATCAGGTATTTCAGCTGATACCAGATTGTTGATTGCGGCAATGTCCTTTGGCTTATCTTCGCACTTTAAAATCAACAGAATGTGTGCATGTGGCAGGCCTCTTTTCTGAAACTCAATAACATGTATTTTTGCCACTGGTTTTCCAAGCACATGGTTTGCACTAATGTCATGCAGCATGGCATTTAGCTTGATATTAAAGACTCTTGAAATTAAATCAGGTCGGTGTTCCACAGACTGCCAACTTTCCAAATTTTCAACTATTTCCTTCCATTTTGGATTGCAAGTCATAGTGACGAAAAAATCTGGGGGCCCGTACTTTCTTACAATTGCCATAGCATCTTGATGACTTTGAGCCATATCTCTTGGACTACCTTTAAAGCTTGAAGGAAGGATTAAAGGGACCCCTGGTAAGAGTCCTTCCGCTTCAGCTCTAGAATTCAAATGGTCGTGAAGACCTTTATAAAATTCTACTCGCAATTTGGATTGATTTTGTTTAATATAATTAAATCTATTGGCTTCAGTTTTGACATATGCGTCAACAAAAAACTGTTGAGTTAATTTTCCAGCATTCAGAAATGGGTTGAACCTATTGCGGATTGAAAAATGATAACTATAAAATTCCATTTGAGAAACCCTTGTTCGTGGGTTTGCTGAAACATATCTGCCCATCGTCGAAAGAGCTCTTGGTCGTTGACCCAATGGAATATTTATTCCCCAACTTTGATCGCCGTATGGAAATAGTAGTGGATAAACTATAGGATCCAAATTGGGGTCTAGGACATTAATTCGTTCTGTTTTTCTTGAATTTAGAAGCGTAGGATCAACTCGGCAATGTACCAATAAGTCCCTATCCAAAGGTGGTTCGCCATCAGCATTTTGGAAGATTACAGCCACCTCATTTACTCGAGGGGCATTGTAGCGGCGCAAATCTGAATTTCTGTTTTGCAATATTGCCATCGTCGCATTTGGTGGCGGAAATCCATGACGTTGTGCATCTCGAATGCATTCTTGTTCAACTTCATGGAGCATTTTGAATGAGATTGCGAATGGGTTATTGGTGGTCACAAAGTGACTGAGTTCTTGCATTAACTGTGGGTTACAGTTCATGTTTCCAGCAATATGCATTCTTTGATCTGCTGCCGTCATTGGATCAAGGATAAATAACTGAGCATACTTTCTTTGTTCTCCAGAACTTGGGTTTAATACACCAACTCTGTGATAAATAGAGTCATGTATTCTGAAACAATATGGGCCACCTCCAGGTGGAGGAGCGATATTCGCACCCATTGAGGCAAATGCTAAAGAGCTATTGAATGCCCTAATGTTATCCATGAAGTTTTTCGAATGTGCATGGTTATTAGTCATTAATTGTTGTAATAGTGGGGCAACATTAATCTCAGGAAGTATGACTACTCCTTTTCGACAACATTTTGAAAACTTACCATCTGTTGGCTTTTCATCGTGAAAATTCTTAGAATTACAAAATTCACACAATACATTTAATGCACCACAGTAGCGTTCATTTATGGTTTGTTCATCAAAATTGCCCGCTATTGATTGAACGGCTTGCCTTTGTATTTCCGCTTGCATTAATCTACGATTTGCCATTCTACTTGTGTTTTGCTGTTGATCAAGATCAGCCTGCTGCGGAGTTCTGTCCGCACGAAATTGTGCTGAACATTCTCTATTCCGTTCGCGGGCCTGATCGATTTGTTGTGGTGTTCGATTAGCTCTTGATGCTGCCACCGCCACTCTGTTTTTTGCACGATCAGCAATGATTTGTTGTGCTGACCTGGCAGCTCGAGCTGCTGCTTTCCTTTCAGCATCCTTTCTTCGTTTCTCACAGATCTGTTCATTTGTCATTGACTCACCCAAGCTTCTTTTCGAGGTCATAGTTATTAAGTTACCTTAATATACCGTTTGATCAAATTATATAAATGCGCTTTTGTGGGCCTAGTCGGACAGTAGGATTTACCCTTTTAACTCGGTACTTACGACCCAAAAAGTGGCGAAAGAAACAAATTGAGGCTGTGTGAAATGAAGGAACTACCACGGCCTTCCTCTGTTCCTTTAGACGGACTGTCCATCTCCCCAATATACGGCCGTTCCAGTCTCTTGGCATTTACGCTAGAAAACAAATAAGAGGGGTGGTTTTTCATGGTTGACCTACAATAAGTCTCCCACCTAACATCCCACGATTAAAAGCGATTTAGCACTCCTCTGCGTCATGTCTGGGAGATTTTGGCCACCAAATGTTAACACTTGGCTTGGGGAAGCACCGTATAATAGTGGCGACGAAATCCACAAACATTTCACTTAAATCGTGCCAAATTTTGGTTTCACTTACCATATATAAGTTTGTTAAATTCGACAACTCTTGATCTTTAATTTGTCCCATTGGGTTAAGTTTGTCTTACTTTGGTTTCAATTTGTCCCGTTTTGGTTCACTTTGTCCCGGTTTGGTTAAATTTGTCCCGTTTTGGTTCACTTTGTCCCAGTTTGGTTCAATTTGTCCCGTTTTGGTTCAATTTGTCCCGTTTTGGTTCACTTTGTCCCGGTTTGGTTAAATTTGTCCCGTTTTGGTTCACTTTGTCCCGGTTTGGTTTAATTTGTCCCAGTTTGGTTCAATTTTTCCCGTTTTGGTTCAATTTGACCGGATACGGTAAATTTTTCCCAATGGGTTAAATTTGTCACCTCTAAAATCTTTTTATCGTTTGGTAGTGCATTATAATTAATTAAGAGAAAAAATAAAATATAAACATACAATTGTATTCTTTCACAAATAAAAATACACAGCTTTGTAAGTAAATATGTATTTATGTGCCTGGAGGTCTGGGTTCATCCAGTTGCTGTTCCCGCTGTTGTTGCTGCTGTTCCCTCTGTTGTTGTTGCTGTTCCCATGCTTGCTCTAACTCAGCACTGCGTTGGCGTAATGCTGCTGCATCATCCTCATGTGAGTTGTGGGCATGTTGTTGAGGTCGCAAGGGTCGAGGACTGTATCCTTGATGTCGCGAGGCCTGTGCGAATTGTCGTGGGGCCTGGGCGAAATGTCGCGGCGTGTGGGCAAAATGTGGGGCCTGGGCGAAATGTCGTGGGGCCGTGGCGAAATGTCGTTGCGCTTGGGCGAAATGTGGGGCCGTGGCGAAATGTCGTGACGCTTGGGCGAGATGTCGTGGGGCCTGGGCGGAATGTCGTGGCGCTTGGGCGAAATGTCGTGGGGCCTGGGCGAAATGTCGTGGCGCTTGGGCGAAATGTCGTGGGGCCGTGGCGAGTTGTCGCGGATGGTTGGCTGCGTATTGCGGAGAGTGTGCTCCTCGTCTTGGTCGCTGACCCTGGGCCATAAGGATTGGCTGCAGCCCTACGTTGTCGTTGGCGGCGCCCCTGCGAAGCAGCTTGACCTCTCCGCTGAACGCCTGCCCCAGGGTGATTAATGAAGACATTGATGTCCCCCATCCTCAACTCTGAAAAAGTATTATGATTATCCCCAGCACGATTATAAACTGCTGATTCCTAGTCATGAATTAAAACTGACCTTTTCTAGTCAAGTCCCACGATGACTAAAAACTCGTTGCGTCCTAAACACGACGATAAACTGTGCACAATTTAAATTTAATTGTTGATCCTAGCACGATCAAATTAAACTGCTGTGGCACGAACTGGGTGACAAAGGCAAATATATTTTCCCGAAACTTGAGTGAGTGGTGGAGAGAGAGCCGACTCGGGGCTCGGCTTGATTCCGATCATAGCCGAGCGGACTTACTGACACACAACGGCTCTTATATTAGTAGTAGATTCGTCAATGGTGTAAGTATTTCATTAATGACTTATAAGTGGTCGGAAAATTAAAAGTGATGAGTTTGTAAACCCCTCATATATAAAAATCCAAATTAACCAACTTGTCAAAAATTTAAATAAAGACATATGTATACAAATTTAAAACCAGCATGTTCCGTAGATTTAATTTTATTAACCTGCTTCCATGCGTTCATCAATACTGTTCCAACTGCAAGATGAGCAGTGAAATCGATGACAATGATCATGAAGAACAGGATCCACGATGACAGATTTAGCTTGAGTTCTTTCGTGTCCATCATAATATTCTCGTAATAAATGATTTTTTCGTCTGTAAATTATGGAAAAATTCTTACAATGCAGATCCATTCATAAATTAACGTTGGAAATACCTTCCGGTATGAACTTCAAACCATGGTTGGAATCGGATGGCTGGAGGTGCACAAAAGCACAGAGTGACAATCCGTAAACCGTTATTACGCAACATGCTCCATAAAATAGCTGGAAGGAAAATTTTGTAATTTTCTCACCAAAAATAAATTGACTAATTATTTTATTTCTATTACCATCTTTACAAATGCCATGAATTTTATGGCCTTTTGCAATTCCGGGAGATAATTTGGTGACGGCATTTTCCAAAAATGAAAATTTCGGAAGAAAAAGTGTAATAATACAGTTACAGATATATTGCAATGCGAAATTCAATTCCGATCATGTATCTGAGTTAGTAAGTTGAGTATGGGATTTCACACCTTATGGTTCCGGGAATTCATTCATTCATTTGGTGACCATGGTTATCTGGAGAAAGTTAAGTGAGCGTCGATCTGCCGATCGATTACTAAACCCGGGTAAAACTGTTGTCTATCCTCATCATCTAGTCTTACATTTCCTTATCCTTGATTGATTCACGGGGAGAAATTGACTTATATAATGAAACTGTGGAGGTATTTACGTAATTATGCACTAACTCAAGAACAATAGAACAAATCTTGTTTGACTTTCATGAGTAATATTTTCTGTCTGCTTTCCCATTAATCGTGAAGTAAAATGCATGCATGCTTATGCATTCTTCATCTATTAAACGATATTTGGCTGACGTGCCAGATTTAGATGAATTTTCTAGGGTTGATTTACAAAATAAGATGAGTACTTAAGGGTCAGATCAAGGCATTCTTGGCAACAAAAAAAATACAAAATTTCAATGCAATTTCTGCACAAATTCTTGCCCTGCGGGGCGCTTCAACCTGCATTCATGCAACACTTTTTTAAATTTTTGTACATTTTAATAGACACATTATGAGTGTAGGCACAACGAGTAATCAGTGACTTATTGAAATTACTCGTGGTAGGCTCACTAGAAAAGATAATGTCAAAATTATTCGCATTTAAACCTGTTTTTTGAGTTTTAAAATAAATATGCACGAAAAGGACCCATATATCAATCATAGCGATAGCCATAACCTCCAAGTACTAAACAAACTTATTGCACAGTTGAAATTGGTCATATCTTGGGCGCATTGAGCCGCCCCAACCGGCAGAATCACTTGGTTGTTATGAAGGAAAAATAAATAGATCACTAAAAAAATTCGATCGTCTCATATTAATTAATTTCAAATTAATTTGTTGCTAACCTAAACTATTTTTTGTATTTTTTGTTGCAAATAATTGGCTTGATCTGACCCTTAACAATAGGAATTTAAAAACTATAACTCATAGTTCAAATTTTGGTTAATTTAAATTACCTCATTAACCAAAATCATAATACTTGAAATGGGGTCGGGCCCTATTTCGGGTAGGCAGGTCACAGCTCACGCGTTCGTCGTAGCGTAATCTCTCCTTCACCCCCAAGCTCCTAACCCCCTCTCGACTACTACTAATCCCGATGTGAATTTACCCCCCACAATTACTGAAAATAGTGCTGGCCGGCAATTATTCACGCAACTACAAGTGGAATTATAGCAACAAGAAAATTTAGGGTTTATTTTGAGAACAGGCCAATTAGTTACAAAAAAATCATGAGTAAAACTGACGTGGACTTTGGCTAAGTTAAAAGTGTTCTCTCTGGTTGTGGGCTGTTGCTGGTCCTTTTATAGAATCGAGAGACGCTCTCGGGTCACTCACACTAAGGTTCATTTCACAATCACTTCACTTTACATGTTTTTATGGTTGAAACCCACAACTTACACAATACTTTATATACAATAGAAAATTTGGATAAAATATTTTATCACTAAACAAAGGTTGGGTTTGGGTGCATTTCTCCTGCTGAGCCAACTACCAGCATGCAGCTCGCGCTGCATACATAATGCTCTGCTCAATTCTCATTTCATGCAATTATACAATTTCAAGGTTGCATAAAAATGAGATTATTAAAATACATGAATCATTTAAAAATGCATACATCAAACAAATATTCAAATTCCGGCGACAATACTTAATGACAATATTAGCATATACAATTGGCATATCAAACTTGTACTTTGCAGAAATTTAGTATAGCATATATCTACTATATAGGTACTACAAATATGCACTCAAAGGTACATTCACTGAGGAGGAGAGGCGGGGATATGGTAACAAGCAGATCCTGTTGAAACTTTTACCATTTCAAGAACTCGGTAAGCTTACATACTTTACTACTGACTTTTGCACCAGGTATTTTTTAACCCTTCAACTTAAATGCGGACGAGTTTTTTTTAATTGGAAACGAAGCGGTCCATTATTATTTTTACCGTTTTATGGCTTTAAAATTCAATTGAATTATATATTTAAGTCGCCAACTAGTATAAAATTAATACATTCACAAACTTGTCTCAATTTAATTTATAACAAACTAACTTAAACCTTCAAAAAAATAACATTTATTTCCACTTTTTCGTTACCCTATTTTTTAACTGTTTGGATTACCAGCATGGCCCTGTGCTCGCCTCTACCGAAACTAAATTGAGACCAAACCAGTAAAAAAAATGTGTGTGACAACACCTTCCACCTTGGGCTTGCAATCTCAACTTGTGAAAAATATCTGAACTGAAAACCCGTATAATATACGTCAAAATTAAACTAAAAACACCAGATTTTTTCAACTTTTCACTTATTTTTTA